GTTGCGCCTGCCTATCAGTCGCCTTGGCAACGGCCAATCCCTTTTTATTTGGCTTTCTCAGTCGCCTGTTGTTTGACATTTGCGGCATCGTTTACTGATTATGAGTATTGCTTGCCTACTGCTCCCAATGCGGCCTTGCAGGAAGCAGATATTTGCGTGAAGCGTTAACTCGGGCTTCGAAATCATGTCGTAGACTGTTCCACTCACTCTCTCACTCGCCAATCATCCATCCGTCCATCCATCCACTCATCAATCCATTCGTCCATCCATCAATCCATGCATCCGTCTGCCTAATCGCTCAACAGGCACGCATGTGTGTACACGGATGAACGGACACACGTACACACTCGTGCACACACCCGGGCCGCAAATACACACAAGCCACACACATGCATGCACACGGTTGGTTGTAGGCTACACATCACCCGGATTCTGGACAAGTGCTTCAGAGTAGCCGTTTTCGGGGATCTTGCAAAATTGCAATAATATACATTTTATTGCTGAAACCCGACTGTTGCCCCCGTTAACTGTCTTGTTGGTGAGGCTAACAACTGGATGCATCGTTTTTTGCGAAATGGTGAAAAAGCGAAAATATTGGGAAGAATTGCATTCGAAAGGTGATACTGAAGAGGAGAAGATGTCAGCTGAACCGCATGAAAACGCAATCTATTGATAGTCCACTCGGAGGAAATGAGTAGAATGGAGCAGTAGTAAATGAGTAGTATGATGTCGAAATTGCGAGTTCAGTTGCCAATCCAGCTTGTGACGAGCACTGCCTCGGTCGGCGGTGTTGCGGGACTCGAACCCGAGCGGCAACAGGCCCGAGCAAGCCTCGCCCACCCACGGACCGCCCTTTTGGCTGGCTGATTGGCGGTTGGCTGTTCGGGCGGGCTGGCGGGCTGGGACGACGGGAAAACGGGTCTGGCGCTCACGGAGGCGGAGAACTCCGCTTCCCAGCGCTGTTGTTGTCCGACTGCATCCGGTCGCTCGGCTTTCTCCACGCCTTAGCGACTCTACACTTCACCCACATCGCCGCATATTTGCTTTGACCCACACAACTGGTCAATTTCAGGCCGAGTCTACGCTTAAATTAGGCTCGGTTGCCAGCCCCAAATGGCAAATCGATAGAATGGGAGATTCGCATTGCCTCATCGGCATCCAGAGCCAGCTTCTGAGCGCAATTGACGTCAAGCCACGGTTGTTCAGGCTGGCCGATAGTGGCAATCCGGTCGCCTCAGCAACCGTCGAGTTTTCGGGTTATTTTGCGTTTCTGGCGTTCCGGTTTGAGCAGATGGCCGAGTTCGGCAGAGGTTTGGGTTGAAGAGGTTTGTGTTACATTCCACCGCCAGATGCATTCTGCAAAGATCATATTTATTTTATCCGTCGAAACAAGTACAACAAGTCTGGCGCGTAGAAACCACCGTTCTGGGCAGACGGGTTCCAGTATCAACTGCTAAGCCTGCTTTCGCCGTAAAAGTCGACAGACTACTGATTTGTAGAAAGTAGCATTTTGTGTGTATATTGTTTATTCGTATGGCGCCCTCCCATTTACCCATTATGATAAATTAAAGTATACAATAGCATTAAATTGGCTTCGAATGATGCCTGTGCAATAATATGTTTAATAATGCATTAGTACTAATACTTTAGTATAGTACAGTAGTAACATGACATGCAAACATCTTCGACTAGTACATGAGATGTATTAGCTCTGTCTGTTGTCAAGTGCTGAAGAAATGAATGTTTAATTTTGCCACAATCATTTGAGTAGAACTCACAATTGCGTTGAATTTCGCAGAAAAA